CAAAGAGGTTATGGTGGAAAAACTGTAGAATCTGAGACTGTCTTGCTACCAACTAGTGTGACTTTGGTGAGGCCTGTATGTCCCATGGTCTTCGTTTTATTTATCTGAACATGGGGAATTGTAGCACTTTCCCTCTGCAATCTCCTCCTGTTCTAAAATTCTGTGAATCTAAGTTTATAAATAAATTTTGTGCATATATTATGCCTCTAGGCATATGATTTATTCTTAGAGCTATGCACAAAGTATATATACCGTCTGTTGATGAATTTGCATTTCAATGGAGAAAACTTGCATTTCATCAGAAAAAGGTTTCTATAATCAGTGCTCACATTATAACCCAAAGAATTCTTTTTGCCAGCGTGTTTTATTATAGTATCAACTTAGTATCTCAATATGTTGTAGACCTCTAAATACAGTGTGGGTTCATTGAAGGATGGTAATGAGCGTTTGATTAGCATACCTAAAAAAATAAAAGGTTCCTTGCTCTAAGATAGACGGCTCCAAAGATGTCTACAACAGTATTTTCTGTTCTGCGTGTTCTTTCATAAGGCGGCCTTGTTGCATCCCAGCGAAATACAGAGTCCACTGACCCTCCCTCGGGGACCAGGCTGGCCCTTTGGTCTGTTCTGACTAAAGAGATTGGAGTGGAAGTAGTGTCAGCGAGCCTTTGATACGAGGTCTCACCAAATCTGCAGCTTCAGCCCTTCCTGCTGGGACACTCCTTCTAGGAACCCAGCCATCACGGATGCTCCAGCAAGCACACGGAGAGGCTGGGTGGAGGAAAGCTGAGCCTCCTGCCAAAGCGCTAGGTTCTCAGCCAGCAGCTAGCACCAACTGCCCAACCACGTGAGCTATTTTAGACCCTTCCGTCATGCCAGTACCCGGATAACATCGCAGAAAGCAGGATTGTCTGGCCAGCCCACAGGAAAATATATATATATATTTTTTAAAGTGCGGTTGCTTTAAACCACTATCTTTTATGAAGGCCTGTTAGGAAACAATTTCTTCCCATTAAACAAGTTAAATATGGAAGCAGAACTCCATGCCTAACACGTGTAAAGCTAGTCCTGTATCCACCCGTTTTCTTCATTCATTCAAATGAATACGTATTTCTTGAACATCTATTATACTAAGCTAAATGCTGAGGATGCAAAGGAGACCAAATACAGACGTGGCCCTGCCTTGGCGGAACTTATTATCTGGATGGGGAGAGAGATATTAACAGAGAAGTCTAATGACATGTTAAATTACAGTAGTGGTGAGAACTGGCATAATGTACTCTGAGATGAAGAGCATGGCTAAGGAAGTGGCCTCATCAAAGGGGTTAAAAAAAGAAGTGATGACTCAAGTTAGATCTCAAGGAAGATTAAAAATTAAGTAGGCAGAGGGGAGAGCAAGAGCACTCCATAGAGAGGGCTCTCAGCATGTGCAAAGGGCCTATGGCAGGAGAGAGGGTGGTATGTTAAAGACCTGTGTTCAGAACTAAGAGATATGGACTCAGGAGGAGGCTTACGGGCCAGGCCTTCTAAGACTCTGCAATCCTCAGAAGGGAGGACTTAACAAGGGGAGTTCAACCTATCAGTCCCACCCTGATCAGATTTCCTTTTCAAACTGCAACGGGGAGAAAGTTGGGAGTAACCCAAGGGAGAGTAACGTCCACCATACTAACTGTACAGGCAGGAACATCCATAGGTGTTTCAATGCTCAGCGCACATGGGCATTTTGCTCATGCTCTCATTCCTTGCTATATTGCTACACACTACGCTATACATAAATATTTCCTTTCTAAACAATTATGTCTCCATACCACTCTATAAGACCCTTTGGGTATGGGGGCTATGTCCCATCATTCATCTTTTTCATTCTTCTTTCACAGTATCTAGCAAACTGCTGAGCACATAGCAAATGTTTAATACGTGTTTCCTAAAATTGTAAAACATGAATAAATAATCCATTCAGCCTGTCAGAGTAATCTCCTGGGAGAAATTCTACAGCCTCGCTTGGAAAGCCATTCCAATGCTAGCAATACTCTTAGGAATGTTTTGCTGTAAAACCTCATTCCTTTATTTTATTTTATTTTATTTTATTTTATTTTAAATCCCCACCTAAGGGGGGGGGGGGAGAGAAGGAGAGAGAGAGACATTGTTGGTTGCCTTCCATACATGTCCCCCTCCCCCAAACAGGTGATCCATCTATAACCCAGGTATGTGCCCTGACCAGGAAGAGAACTAGAAACTTTTTGGTGCATAGGATGACATGCAACCAACTAAGCCACTCGAGATGGGCTAAAACCTCATTCCTTTTCATTTTAGCCAGTTCTTAAGTTTCATCTTCAATGAAGCCCAAAAGCAGTCCATCACATTTCCAAAGAATGCCTTTCTGTTCAGTTTGAAGATCATTACTGGGTCACCCCTAGTGCTCTCCCCTTTCACTGGAAAAACACTTAATGTTCTCACCTTTCCCCAAAGAAACCACTTAGTTGCTCCCTGGATCCATTCCAAAACACCCATCCTTCCTAAACTGTAGAAGCCAGCAATCCAGTAAACCAGGAAACAAAGGTCAAGAATGGGGAGGGATTCTGTCCACAGTCCTCAGAAAGAGGCATGCTCTCTTTCTCACTCTGCTTACTTTCAGGCCAGCTCACATGTGTGCATATGTGGGTTTGTGCACATGGATTTGTACATATATACACACAAAAACACTAACATTTTTACCAGCTTTAAGAATAAACATTGTTTTATTAAGTGAGTTTGTCAACTATTCTCTGTTCTTCACCACCAATCCAGTCTTACCCATCAGATTTGACACGTCAATTTTTTTTTTTTAGCAAAAGCTTTCTTTCCATATATTTGTAAATAATATGAAGAGAAATGAGCAGGACTGTTTTACTGATACTGCAATTATCTTCTTCATGTGCAAAAGCATCATTCAAACTTGGAAATATCATCAGCACTCCAATGTATCATGAATTCAAAAATAATGAATCATTGGTCATTCAACAAAGAATGAGGCTCTGATAACATATAGAGCTGTTGTGCTTAAAAAATTATTTTAGCATTGGGGTGAAAACTGTTCAATTTTATTTCAAATAACACACTGTTACCTTTCATTTATAATCATTTT